CAAATTACTTTAGAAGATAATCGTTGCTGAGGGATCCTTAAAAAATATGTCATACACACAAGCAAGCTATACATTACAAGCTTGAGCATTTGAATAAGGTCCATAGATCTTTTACTGGTACTTATTTGTTGCTAACAAAATCATTAAATGCGCAACAAATTTTTTACTTTCTGGGTGACTGAAAAAAGCCATCATTGCATTACTCATTATTCATACAACTCTTCATAGGATCCCAGGCTACCTTTGAAGATTGTTTCCTTAGAAACAGAACAAAATGCGACAGTATTGCTTTATAATGGACGAAACATATAAATAGAAACCATTTTTACCTCCTTTCGAAAACGCCCATGGTGGCACAATGTCCCACTGTTCTGCCATATGTCGACCTCTACACCGGTGCGGTGAGCAGAGTCGATTTGTCACACTCACTTTTCCAATCTGTCGTCGTTTTCGGAATTAAAAGGGGGTCGGGGGTGGTCAACCATTCGGTTAAAAGCCGCCTGTAATTCGGCAGATGGAAATTGTTCACTTGTTTTGTCCACGGATCGCTAAATGGTCCTTTCCCGATGGAGATGCGATTAGATGTGGTTAAATGGTGTGTCGTCGTTAAGTATGTCCTGTTTGTCATTTATGTTGTCGAAATCTGTTACTCCTATCACCTATGACATAACCAGTAAGGTACTTAAGCTCTTCAGACAAGGCACAGTGAGCGAGCCAAGAATGTACAAAACCTGGCAAAAATGATATAGCATCAGATATTATATTTATTTGGCTAACATCATTCTGAAAAATACACATACATACATAAATGTGTTGTTATAGTCTACTCTCCGGATGGGCGGCTTTGCTGAAGGACTAGTAGTCTAGTCATAATAGACGAAACTACGCCTGGTTTGCGAAATGATTGGTTTGGCTCTGACTGTTACATAATTGTTTCTTCAGTTTGCCTGCTAACTTAATAAATAGTTCAATGCATTTCAATATGAAATAATTTTTTATAAACCTTAAGGCTCATCTGTGTCTGTGCAAAAATTTCAGCTCTGAATACGTATACATAAGAGTATAAAGAAATTTTGAAAAAAATGATTTGTGATAGACACATCCGATTTGTTTTAAAATGTGTATAACAGCGTACGTTTTTCGAATATCATAGCCCATTTGTTCAATTACTCGCAAAGACAAATTGACAATATTGACACGACATTTATGGCACGTGTATCCTTGGGTTACTAAGGTTAACAATACAATTTATTCAATATAAATTATAATAATTGATAAATTAAGTTTTAAAGGCGAATGTACGGGGAAATCTATGCGTCAAGTATGGCTAATAGGTGCGTAGAACTATTGGGGTTAGGAACGTATAAATAACATAAAAATGAGATATATGCTCCTTCATCCCTTACAACCGCTAACCCAGAAATGTTTAGCCCTACAGAAATTTTTCTGGAATGATTGACATTTTCAACCTACTTACATGTATTGATGTCAGATTGCCAAATTATTAGAATCCTACTCAATGTAATGTAAGTAATCTAAACTGCCGGAACGCGTATAATTTAGTCGCAGTAGTCTAATGATACTTCTGTCGATGAAAGATAAGAGCTTCGCTTTCAAAACTTCTTCGATCTCTAAGTTGTTTGTGGAGTTTGAGGAAAGTGCACCCTACCGAAAGAATTTCATATCAAATAAGAAAACTCTACATAGAACGCTTTTTGAGCAGGTACCCAATACATCTTGAGGATGACATGAACAGAAATATAGAGAAGAGCTAGGGGACGAGTGCGAATATGCGTCGGCGGTAATCCGAACATTTGCGTATGAATGCTGCTAGGGTGGGGGTTGCATTGTCGTTGGTGTACCAGGGTCTCACCGCTTTGACACCGTCATTTTCTGCATGACTGATACACGATCTTCCAGTCCCTAGAGATGTGACGCTCTTTATACTTGAAGGATTGATCTGTTTAACAGGGGCGTAAAGTTTATCTTTTATCAGAGGTGGAAGAAGCGGTTTTGTATCTAGCGTAAATTATTCATAAAAGAGGCTTGTTAAACGGAAATGAGGTCAATAATAAGTTATTTTATTGTTGAATAGAACAGAAAAATGTATAACAAATGAACAGGTCATAAAAACAGGGGCGACAGATTAAAAATGAGAAACTATAAATCTAAACAAAAAGCTCATCCGAGCAGTAGGAATATTTGTCTATCAAAAAGTGTTTTCATTTCCCCTTGAACACTCTATATTGAACTCATTGTTAATGTTATTAAGAATCTCACATTCCATATATCTAAATGTTTTCTGGTATGCCGTAGTTTGATGTCTCAGCGGGATAAAGAGTATTTTAGATAGAGTTGGATAGATGATGTTTGATGACTTCAGATTCAAACTTATTCTTGAAAACAAACAGCGTAGTCATAATAAATAATAATAAACCACTTTTTTATATAAATGTTTATAAAAGCATTTTCGTTAGTGTTCTAGAAATCTAGAGGATTCTCTGCAGGACTGGCGCCAACCAAGGTTGTCGATAATTCCAATCGTATATTTTTGTAGCAAGAGAATTTTTGCAGATACTGGACTATTCCCTTATATAAGAATATCAATTAGTGCCACTCGGTAATTTAGATAGATTGGGTCAAGTTATTAGCAAACTTTATGGAATGTAGGATAGACGAACGATCGGTTGAAGATCTTCAACTTTTTAAGCGGTACACAAAACCAGTTTCCAAGCAGTCTCGTGGTTATAGCCGAAATGCTACTCCAAAAATGCAGAACGATCAGTTGTTATTGTGGTCCGTATCATCAGTACTTCATGATGATACCATCAGTGCTAGTGGATTTCTTTGTAACATTATATAACGATCGTGTAACATTAGTGTGAGAGACATTACTGCCTCATGAACATTGCATCCTACGCTTAGACCTCTTTGCTTGTTTTTTTATATCGAAGCAGCCGCGCAGGCGGAAGCCTGAATGCCGAAACACCGCGGCTGCTTTGATGATCCCAAAGAAGTTTTGTTAATACGATTTTTGAACTGCCTAAGGTTAGTAGAACTGGAAAAGGCTTCCTCTTGTAGATTGTTCCACAATTTCGACACACTTGGGACACAGGAGCGGTCGTATTTGCCAGTTCTGGATGTACGAAGTTCTACACGGTTAGGATGGGACGCTAAAGTCAGGCGGGTCTGTCTGGCAGGCACATCGCGCGGCGACATCATGGAAGCAAAGCCCGTTGGTGTAGCGGTAGAAAAGAGCTAGATCGCCGACGGCCCGCCGGTGCGAAAGAGTCCCGAGACTGTCTGTTAGAGAAGAGTCATCGATCTGTCGGATCGCCCTCCTCTGGACAGCATCGAGCATGGATAATGTAGTCGGGGCGGCAGCACCCCACACCTTTGAGCAATACTCGAGGCTCGACCTTATCTGGGCCTTGTATAGAGTGAGAAGGTCATGCAAAGAGAAGTACTTCTTAGCCCTAAACAAATAGCCTAGCTTTTTCCCAGCAGCTGCAGCTATTGACTAGATGTGTTCGTGCCAGATCAGGTCCTCGGTGATCTGGACTCCGACCAGACGAAATGAATGACTCTTTGGCAGATCTCGGCCATCCATCGAAACCGGGTGACCGCTAGTACGCTTTTTGTTCATCAAAGTACAGTACTGTGTTTTGGAAGCATTGAACTGTACAAGATTGTTGCGACACCAAGCAGTGATAGCCTCCAGGTCTCTTGTCAGAGAGGAAGTCGTCGCTAGTCTTGTTTTTTCCAGCTCAGCGGCTGAGATTGGCTTATGACTCTGAATTCCTGCATGTAGAGTGCTGTCATCGGCGAAGCTGTGGATTGGGTTGATCGTGCAGGAAAGGAGGTCGTTGACATGTAAGAGAAACAGTGTCGGAGCCAAGACCGATCCCTGGGAACACCCGCGTTGACGTTGTGGGATGAAGAGGAGAACCCGTCAATTACGACGGATATCTTGCGGCCAGAGATAAAGTCAGCCACCCATCTGCAAAGCTTTTCTGGGAGGCCATAGGATGGAAGTTTGCTTAAGAGGGCAGCGTGCCACAGCTGATCGAAGATCGATAAGACTGGATGAGTTTACTCCACAATTGCGTGACGTAAGCTAGGAGGTCCCCTGTGGATCGTTGGTGCCGGAAATCATACTGCCTGTCGCTAATCAAGCTGTGATGTTCGAGGTAGTCCAGAAGCTCGCGATTTGATGAGAGTCCATATAACCATTATCTACACAATACTAACCCTACTGTTACTGAACCGTTCAAGCTTCACCTTGTTACTGAAGAAAACATTCTTGAAATTTTTAATGAAATCAAGTCGCACGCAACAGACCTTGATGGGCTTAATATTGATATATTTTCATACGTTCTACCTTTTTGTGTGAAAGCTCTAACGCACATTATTAATTTTTCGCTAGAATGTGGATGCGTACCAAAAAAATGGAAAGCAGCTAGAGTGAGACCAATACCTAAAAATGATAATCCACAAACTCCAGGAGACTATAGACCTATTAGAGTTCTACCGCTTTTATCTAAAATACTTGAGAGAATTGTTCATGAACAAGTGTTAGCTTATATTGAAAGAAATAAGTTAATCCCGAATAGACAAACAGGATTCCCAAAAAACCACAGCACTGTTACAGTTTTAACTGATCTTTGCGACGACTATCTGAGCGCTATTGATGGTTCTGGTGTAACAACAACTGTTTTTATTGATTTGAGTAAAGCATTTGACTGTTTGAATCATAGAATGCTTCTAACAAAGTTACATTACTTTGGATTTTCTCATGAATCAGTTACCTGGTTCCAGAGCTATCTAACTGGACGCGTTTTAAAGTTTGGCATTGTTTTTCTGATGAAAAGGAACTGGCTAAAAGTGTCCCTCAGGGATCAATTTTGGGCCCGATTTTATTCACGTTGTATGTCTCAGACCTAGTTAACTCCATCAACTTCTGTCGTGTGCACTCATATGATGATGTTACTCAGATTTACCTTTCATTCACTCCCTCTACGTACATCGAAGCAAACAGAATGTTAGCTGCCGATTTAAACAACTTATGTAACTGGTTCGAGAACCACGGCCTATGCATTAATTCGAAAAAGTCTGCTGTCATTACGTTCAAATCCAAACACAGTAATTTTGATAGTAATCTAATGAATCTATGTATAGAAAATGAAACACTAGTTTCTGGGAAGGTGTCGGATTCATAAGATATCTGGAAGAGACGCGAAAGAACTGGAGTAAGCTCCGCTGCACACCCTTTCAGTACAATGGCAGGAATCATGTCCGGACCAGAAGCTTTGTTGATATCGAGCGACAAGAGTACTCGTCTTACGGTCATGTCTGAATGTTACCTCCCGTATAGTGTAGGGAACCCTTTGAATTAACGGCACTTGGGCGTTGGGTGAGACGTCCATGGTGGAGTTGGCAGCAAAGATCTTGGCTAGCACTTCCGCTTTGGCCTTTGAGTCGAATACAGTAGTTCCATCCTGACACGTAAGTGGTGAAAGGCTACTGTGTGAGAAGTTCTTTTCAATCTGCTTGGCCAGCGTCCAGAAAGACCGACTGCCATTGCGCGGCGACATTAAACTGTGCCTAACTTTTGTTGTTGAAGTCTCCAGAAAACATCTAAGTACACGATTTATATTGCTCGACTGACGCTTCACTTGATGTACGGATCTTTTTTGACCTCATTTATAAAAAAATAGTTGCATGTTAAGTGGCATTGTCCATGTTAACACAGTGACTAGCCAAATGCTTGTATACCGCTTAGCGCGCGGTGTAGATAGTCACAGATTGACAGGAGCCCTTGAAATAACCCGATTTTATCGGTTCTCTGTGGCTTAAACAGGGATAAACATGGATAAAATCACTCTGATTCATGGGTTAACATATCTGTTTGCCAAGAGACTGACTATGGTTTAGCGTGTAGCACCAGTGACTGCGGGTGCGTTGCTCACATCGTGGGCATTGGCTCGGTGCTACTATAGCGCAAAGCACACGACAAAAGTGGGGTGAAGCGCTGTGTTAGCGCACGAGACAGCATGATTCTATGGTAAGCTAACCAGAGTGTAAACATGACCCAAACAAGCCACACAACATCAGCGAGCTGTGTTGTTCTATATATTTATGCTACTCTGTGCGCCTTTATGATGTGCTATGCGCCGACCAAGTTATTAGCGCAACTCCAGTAGCTACGGTGTAAACATAGCATGAGCAAGGCCATGTAGATGCTGTCAGTTTCTACTGTCTGTCTCTCACCTCAAAACGTTGTTGGTTCGAAACAACTTTTCTGTACACAATCTTTATTTTACTTTTAACTCACCAGTAACCACCAACTAATGTTCGTACAGTGGCGGGTGACCTGCTGGCGACTGTGTCTGGGATCCGCCCACGTAAATTCTGTCGAAATAGAGTAACACAATGAACGGAATTTGTGAGGCGGGATCGTGGACATGCTCACTGACAGATTAGTGACAGCTGTACGAACAGGTTTTAAGTGTATTTGTGATTTCATGAGCAATGGATGAGGAAGCAGAGGTCGCCATTTTGTTGCGGGAGACTATCCAGCTGTTAGTTACACCAACAAAAAGAGAGTATGGGGTCCACTCATAAACTACTTTCATGGTTCGGAGTTGTAATACCATGTTTTAAGTCTTACAACATTTTGCCTCGAAATGTTATCCTGGGAGGATTTTTTATGGATCGAGATGCTTTGTTGTTGTATAATTCATGATTAAACTTCTTTTAAATCATTCATGTAAAATCCAATCCAGAAATCGAATTTTTCGTATCTCTGTACTCAAAGTACAAATATTGTTCTACTATGTAGGGAAGCAACTTTTTACGATGTAAGCGATTTTCTAATCTTGCATCAACAATTATTTTTGAATCTTAAGCCAAATTTTCTGTTTAGTCTTGATATCGTACAATAAAAGTATTGGTAGCACTCTAGTGCTCCAGCATGGTAATTATCAGTTCAAGAAATTCTTGCCATGTTTCCTAAAATCTTGCCCATGAATCGGCACGGGTATCATGTATCTTGAAAAGTGATATGCCGATTTTTTTGACATTATGTAGGTTTTTCTACAAGATGTTATCCAAGCACTTAGTTGTACGTGTTGCCTAAACGTCATGAGGCTTGTTATCAATCTTTGACTCTGATGTGATGTAAAATCTGCTTCTGAGATGGCATTACTGGAGGTCTAAGCTGTAAGTTGTTTGTGTTGATGATAATTACATTGGGTTCTTGTCTCAAATAAACTTAATTGAGATTCAAAGCTAGAAATTAATTGCGTATCGACTTTATCTTATCGATCTTGGAAATTACTTATACAAAATTTGCGGAATTTGAAAAATGAGAGAGCTAAGAAATAATTATATTCACTGTACACTGTCGAATTACAAGCCATATACATGCTAACAGTAATTACACACAACGCGGGCGCGGTGATGAATTTCCGTAATTCTCCTCAGTTTGTCGTAAGTTATAACTTTGAACATAACCTCTCTTCAAAAAGCACAACATAAAAATAACCTAACATCACAGCCAACAGATATACTTCATTGGCAGCAAATTCAGTAGTGATTTTCTCACACAGCAAGTATAACTGATTTTATACACATTCAGACCAATACACATAAATCATCCAGATGCGATCTTTCTATTCAATCAACTTTCTTCTCAGAGATAAAAACTACAGACAAGGACCATTTGGCCTCACAAAACATATGCAACCAATAATGCGTGTAGTTTAGTTGAGTGATTCCTCCTTAGATGGACGTACACAACGATCCTAATGAGCAAACGTGGAATGACTGTTTGCGCCCTAAAAACTACCTACTTTGCAAGATGACATCTTATAGGTTTTTTTGGCGTTTTATAGGTTTTTTACATGATACCCATGCCGGTTGTCCTTTAAAATTTATATATACAACATGCTCTTGTGTGCAACATTATAGATTTTAAAGATTCGCCTTCTGAGAAAATTTGCTAACCTCACCTTGCAAAATTATTTTGGGGCCTTATACACTTCCACGATATAAAAAACTCTTCTCTTGTCGATGTCTCATCCAACCCTTCAGAGAAGAATTCCTGTGGACTCCAATGACCCAGCAAAATGGACAAATATGTACGAAATACTAAAATGAAAAAGCGCTCTTAAATCATCCGCCCATCACGTAAACCATATAAATCTTGAACGATAATGAAAATAGTGCGTAGAGATTTATTTTAGTCAAAGCCTTGTCAAAGTAAAATATTTGAAGGCTCAATCTAATCATACTCCACATAAAAAAAATAAGTTTTATCATCCTGTAGCTCATCCTATTTCTTACAGATAAGCTGTCGCATAACTTGATGCTGATGTGTTGACTTGTTAGACCATTGTTATTCAAAAATCTGGTTACAAAATGCTTTACCCAATATGTTCGTATATCTTTCTAGTAACACTGAAAATTCTATTTTCCATCGGAGGAGTTACTATGCTGATCATAGGATGGATATACCAAATTAAATTATTCAACCTATACGACGATACGCTCTTGCCAGATGGATACCAATGCATAGAACTCACTCCATTGTGGTGTATTCTGGTTGGACTTATGGTGACTGTAGTTGCTCTAATTGGAGGCTGGGGAGCAGTCAAGAGAGACAGATTTCTGCTTATCACATACTCTGTGCTGTTGTTACTCTTCCAGATATCTCAGCTGCTTCTTGGTATTTACGTGATGATAGCCTACCAAGAAACCTTTAGAAAAAAGGCAGGTGACTCCCTTAAACGTGACTTTGAAGATCACCATAATCCAGAAACCAAAAAGATCGTGGATGATATTCAAAGAAATCTGCAGTGTTGTGGCTTGGAAGGTCCATCCTATTGGGGTGCAAATATTCCGGACTGTTTTCTGTCATCGAAGAAGAATGGCATCTATCGGAGAGGCTGTTTGACCCCTTACGTTGATAAGTGGTTAACTGTGTTGGTACAATGGTTTTCTATATATCTGTTTTCCATAGTATCTGTAGAAGCCATTGGTATCATATCTGCCATGTGCTTCGCATGGTATACTGGAAAGAAGAAACGTACACATAACAACAACAATCAATTAACTTGGATTCAAACAATTATTTATTTATTATTTGACCTTATATTTTCAAAATATGAATCTTCCACATCCTTTGTACTAGAATCTGCAAACGCTTTTCCAACAGTTCCTCATGGCGAATGAGCTCAAAGGTTTCATTTTTGATCCAAGACTTCACCTACAACCTTAAGCAACACTTGACAGAAGGCTCAGTTTTCAAGCGGCCTGTCATGACTGCAGACGTTAAAAATTAGGCCAGTTGTAAAATGCTTCTTGCGATATGTTCCTATGTTTGTTTGATCACCCTCAACGTGCTGTTTGGTATTGGAGGAGTTATCATCTTTGCTGTAGGATGCATATATTACACCAAAGCAACTTACGTCTCCGATGGTATACCAGTTGAGTACCAAAGCTTTGGACATATTCCCTTATTCACAATTTTATTTGGACTGATCGTGATATTGGTAGCCTTGGTTGGATGTTGGGCAGCAATCCAGAAAAACAGGTTCCTGCTTGTCACATACTCGATGATAATGATGCTGTTTCTCGTAAGTCAGCTGGTTCTTGGATCATACATCAATATAGTGTTTCAGAGTAGCCTTAGATCACAAGCAGGTGAATCTTTGAGGAAGGATTTTGATAACTACTACTTTTCTGAAATCAAAACGCAAATAGACGGAATCCAAAAGACCTTGGAATGTTGTGGCCCAGATGGTCCATGCTATTGGGGTGTAACCATGCCTCAATCCTGTATTTCACCGAACGATGGGAAAATCTACAAGAAAGGATGCATTTACCCTTATGTCGATCAGATGCTGAAGCCCTTTTATATAATAGGAATCATTATTCTATGCATAGCAGGTATGGAAGCGCTTGGAGTCATATGTGCTATTTGTCTGCTGTGCTCGCCGAAAATAAAATCTGGTATGCAGGATATCTACAGCCGACCAAGTTCTTCTAATTTGTAGTGCTCTGATTTGCATTAATTGCTGGATTGTGGAAGTTTGTTATGACACAGAATAAATATAAATAATATATAAAATATATATGATTTCAGTTATTTTGGAGCACTTCGGAATTATTGAAGTTTATCGACAAAAATAAGCAAACCTTCTGCTTATTGTAGTAATAAATTTTTTTCATTGAGAATTGCACATGAAATTTTGACAGTATCTTAACTAGTTCAGGCCTCACACGATGCTGTACATGGAGGATGGTTGAAGTGATTTAGTTTTTTAGGAACGCATTAGCCCTAACGCAATATTGTCAATTTTCTTACACTCGGTAAGATGTTACAAAAGAAGAGTTTCTTTCCTGATTTTCATGAAATGAACCGCTAATGAGAAAAAGCAGCTAAATGCACACATATATGTGTAAGTGTTCTTCACTGACACTTTGGTCTCCATGGTGGCCTTATTCAAAGTACAATAGACACTGACAATATATTTTATGTTTACTGGAAGTATGGTAATCGCAAAAATTTTCGAAAATAAGGTATTATATTTGAATGTTACAAGACATTTATATCACAAAATACCATGTCACTCATTTCTGTCTGTCGGTCTGTCCGCTTATCCTATATCCACCTATAACTTGAGAAATACCGGTCGGATTTTGATGTAATTTCTGCACAATGTTGTTGCACTACTCAGGACGAAAAAGCTTTGTAGTTTTTGAAAACGAAGTAGCGGCGACAAAGAAGGCCAAAAACGAAAAAATATATAAAATATATGTATGTCTCAATTTTTTGATGATACGCACCCAACCTTGGTTAAAAAAACTTTAATTAAATCCTAAAATTAAATATGCTCAGCAGACGGATCGGGCGCATATAAATACCTCATAATGCATACAGTGTAGTAAATGTTAACATAGGTCATACAATTTTTTTATTTTCTTGTGCATGTCCATCATGAAATGTGAAATATTGAAAAAACCTGTGTTTTTGGGAGTGTCTTATAAGAAGTGAAGTGACATCTTTTAATTACATAAAATTTTTGATAAAAAGAAAGGTAAATAATAAAGTAAAAAAAAAGATAAATGCATGCTTCTCCACGCACATGGTTTTATCGTCAGTGGTTTGTTTCCTCATATTTATTTGCTAGTAATTTCGATTATTGCATATTGTTATTTTATTTACGAAACGTCAGTTCAGAAGTATTTCACATATATATCTACGTGATTTCATTTGGCCAATAAATCATGGAGCATGGAGTCCTATCCCCATGAAGACAGCGGGAAACTTCACCTATTACGTTAAAAACAGCTTTGTCCCAATGCTGCTCCTACCAATTCATCATATAGCTAATAGCCAAAAAATTGATAGAAAGCTCAGAAAGTGGCAAAGTGATCCGAAGATGTATATTCCGGTGGACTTCCATGTCGCTGATTACGTATTTGTGGACAAAATCATTGTACAAATATTTTTTGAAGTGGTACGTGGCGTAAGTGGCGCTACGTGCACATTTTGAAAAGATAATGCTTTTTTTTTTAAAACGCTCAGACTCGTCGATTTTGTTTTCGAGGGGGACACAAGTTTGGCAAAAAATCACGTTAGCACGTGCAGCCCCCTAAGCGAGGGTGACACCATCCCCAAAATTTTAAATGGAAAGGGTGGTCGAGTGATACCTTATTTTAAAGGTCTTTCAATCCCCTTTATAATGATATAAAATCAATGTACTTCAGTTCAGTAGTTTTGAAGATTTATTGATTTAAAGCTTAAGTAAAACTAAAACATCATCATTAGTGGAGATAAATACATTTGGCAGCAAAGTAATTTAAAAATGATGAATGAACTGACCCGTTAGGCACGTAAATGTTGGAAATGGCCACCATGACTCTCCATGCAATAATAAAGATGTTGCTCAAAACGTTGCCGCACATTTCGCAATATTTGAGGAGGCACTCATTCACAATTCTTTGTCGCAGGTCTTCTACATAATGATGTTGGCTGAGTAGCATAGATTTTGCTTTTTAAATGACCCCACATAAAGAAATCCAAAGGTGATAAATCTGGCGATCTTGGGGGCCCTTCAGTGGCACCTCTTCTACCAATCCATCGTTCTGGAAGCGTCTGATCTAAATATTGTTGAACACGTAATGCGTAATGTGGTGGGGCAACATCCTATTGGAACATCAACCTATTCGCAATGTACCGCCGATCATTCTGATTTTCAATTATTATGGCTGTTAATGCAGGATCTATGGCGTCTTCCAGTAATTCCAAATACATTTCACCGGTCAAATTTCCAGGTAAGAAAAAAGGACCAACTAAATGATCGGCAAAAATACCAGCCCAAACATTTAATTTTTGTGGCTGCTGTGTATGAACTTCATGATAAATTATGGGATTAGAATCGGACCAATATCGGCAGTTATGACGATTCAGTACGCCATGTAAGAAAAAGGAACATTCGTCGGAAAAGCAAGTGTGGAATAGAAAATGTTCATCGTTTATAATTCATTCACTCATATCTTCACAAAATTGTAATCGCCGATCAAAATCGTCTTCATTAAGCTCTTGTACCAGGTGAATTTTATGCGGATGAAAACTATGGGCCTTTAGAATCCGTTGGATAGTACGTCGACTAACACCACACACAGTCTCCAATTTGCGGGTACTTAACTATATATATATATATAAACTTTCCCTAAAACCCCCACTTCTATTGCTTTGTTCCTTATGGGATTTTCAATGTTGCGTTTTTTATTGGCGACTGACCCAGTTTCCCGAAATTTAGCTACGAGTTCTAGAACATATTTTCTATGCACGTTACTGTTCTCATGTCGCTCATTAAATATTTCTGCTGTACTATTAGCGCACTGATTATTTCCGAAAAATATTTCGATAATTTCAACTCTTTCTGCTGTGGAATATACCATGGTTAATTTATGTAATAAAGCGTTACAAGTTATTTTAGCAACAAAGTTTGGTCAAATCAATCGCAAACTATGTACTAAATTGCTATTTAAAATAAGTACGAGATATTTCCTATCTTTCTTCAAAAAATAACTTTTTTTCCACAAAAAAAAAACGCTCCAATAGCTATTTTTAACAACAAAATGATAAACAAACCATGGGCGTTGTGAAGAAAAGCATTTACTTATTCAGTAAATTCTTTTAGTCAAATTTATTCTGAAAGTAGTACAAACTAATCTGATGTACCTATTAAAGTCTACTTTAAGCTTTAAGTCAATAAATCTTCAAAACTACTGAACTTAAGCTCATGTATTTTACATCATTATAAAGGGAATTGAAAGACCTTTAAAATAAGGTATCACTCGACCCCCCTTTTCATTTAAGATTTTAGGGTTGGTGTCACCCCCGCCAGGGGGCTGCACATGTTAACGTGATTTTTTGCCAAACGTGTGTACCTCTGAGAACAAAATCGACGTGTCTGAGCGTTTTTCGAAAAAAAAAAACTAAGCTGCCAGTAAATGCGTCTGTTTCGTTTTCGATGCGCCACCCTGTATGTCCTACGTGATATGTTAAATGGATATTATGATTTATTTCTTATTTTAATTGCGTTAGAGATATCGATTATATTAATTTTTAAAGTGCTGGCGGACCAAAAGATCTTCGTTGTTTTAATCATCTCCTACAAAATGATAAATTCTGCACATTGTGGTTTGACGAGACCGAAAGCATTACCATCTCTATATATTTAAATGTGAATGTCTGTCCAGAGAGATATGAACATGTGTAATGTATACCCGAGGAAGTTATCATTGATTTTGCAGTCAATTATTGTGTCAAGTACCGAAATCTCCACCATCATCGTCAAGCCGGCAATAGCGCGGCCTGCCATGTCCCCATTTAGTTTGTGACTGCCAAGCGCAGAAGTTTTATTTTGCGCTAGGCATTAGCCGCGACATTGTACGCTTCAATCTGTTAATACATTGTTTTTAAATAATACTGTAAACTTCCGATCACGTTTTGTATCTTTGATGGCATTAGTAAATTGACGGCCAACTTGCGAGCTGGGGAATTTGATTATTTTAATAGTGACGCCCCAACACGTTCGCGGGTAAAACTGCGGGGCAGAAGATAAAAGGTGGCGCTTACCAAAAACACTGTTGAACAATTGCTGTATTGTTAAAACTTCAGTGGATCATACGAAGTTACCGACTACCTGGATCACTAAATAAATTGTCACCACAACATACATTGTTCGATATTGCTGCTACAGCTTGCAAAAGTTATAAATGCATAGAGCGATCGATCACGGTCAGCTATTAGAGGCGTATCAAGCAGTGCGCCATGAAAAGAAACCTTCGAACAAAAGAGCAGCGCACGTATAGGTCTATTGTTAGACCGGTCTCGATTGCGATTTGAGTATGACAAATGACCTGGACTCTCTTATATTTATCGTGAAATCAACCCCTTGCTATTGGTACAAAAAGCGTCAGATCCGTTATTAAAAGTGTGTTATTTGTCATTCTTTCTATACTATAGACACGTTCAGCTTAATCCCTAACACACCTTGACATGGATTGCACTTGAAATAATGCTGGTCAGATGTCCGACAATGGGAAGCGGAAAGATTAGGTTGCCCTAACTTTTCACGTAGCTTCTGTTTTTTTATTTAAATACCCAGGAAAAGGGGAGGGACGTCTCTCAGACTCTGCCGCTTATTTTTTGTCAAAACTTTTCCACTATATTTTTGTTTAAAGGTTCGTGTAGAAAGTTTACAGATCATCTCATGTTCTACAATTTCACATTCAAGTGCAAAATAAATGGAACTCACAAAATTTTGGGCATCTTCGGAATATCATATTATACTATAAGTCAAAATTATGCCTCATTACCCCAACTTTGAGATATTCTGTGAAGTGACTCTAGCAAACAATCAGACCACCAAGGATGACATTTTTTCTATATTCTCATTCTTATTCATGCCATTAGGTACAATAAACTTTCAAGGTCAGATACAATATTTACCACCTTTCACAGCTTGCTCATTCGATT